GTGTATCGAGATACACGTGTAGAGGTATTCGCGATGGCGGAAGATCACCGCGCATAAGAGAGGTCCTGCGCGCACGTCTGTTCCTCTCGTAGAAATACATCATTTACGGTTTCTGTACTTGGGTAAAAAAGGATAAATATACGCTAGAACGAGAGGAAGATGTATAATTTAAATAATACGCTTTGTATTGTAACTTTGTCTCTTTCCAAAATGTGCATACTATCAGAGATAAGACGCACATCTCGATCTCGAATAATGGAACGTAATCTTTTTTTATCTCGATAAATTTCGCCGGTTATTTTTACTCGAGATCATTTTTTTTTCGGGTCTAAAAAGGGCGGATAGCCTGCGGCATCGCGGACGCGAAAACCGGCCCTCGACGCGAGAGCGATCGGCCGAGAGCGAATTCCACTGCTCGGTGCACAAGCGTGAGAGGTTGGATCACGCAGCCGCGGGGCTAAATTCCCAAATGCGTGCAACGCGTAATTCACTAGGTCGAGGTCGTTACTTAATCGAAATCGATGCATCCCTTCGATCGTATATCCATTATATCGCCTCTAGGACGGAGTGAGAGGCGATGCCAGAAATAGAATATCGCTCTAAGGCTAAGGTATCTCCCCCCAAATAAATTCATGTAATATGGAAATACTTGGTGAATGTTTTCCAATTTGTAATATTCTCTTGAAAAAATAATTGCAATAAAAAAAAACACGTGTGTGAGAAATATATCATCTAATACCTTTTTTTTTTTTTAGGGTATTAAGAATGAAAAATTTCCTTATTATAATATTATTTTTTTTTTTTTTTTATTTGAACTCTGGTAAAAAGCACATTTTTTTCTAAAAATTAATCGGTCAAGTGTTAAAGGAAATCTCCCCGATTGCTCAGGCCTGTGAAAAATCACGATATAAAACTCGACGTCTCGTTGGCGAGAAAACGTTATTTAAAAGCGCTGATAAGCGTTGGCATAGCACACGTCCTTTTGCCATATGCATAAGGCGTCTTCTCTCACCTCACCAACACATCTCGCGGACGCGAGAGTGGATACGCCTATTACCGCTCGCGAGATTAGAGCAATTTATAGTATCGTCTGAGAATACCGACCCACGCAGCGAGTAGTACCGTACTTCCGGCCGAGCATATGTTAAAGCGATTTCGTCTGGTTGCTCTTATTGCGATTCCGTATCGCGAGCTAAAACCGCGCCGAGAGAAGCGCGTTGCGCAAGAGAGCTGAAAGACACAGCTCTCGGATCGATAATTTAAGGAAGAGAATTTTCTTGAAAAAAATTAACTCACTGAAAGGGATAATTCTCTCCGATAATGGAATATGTCACCCGGATAATGTTCGTTAAATTTACAACGTTTCTTCGCGGAACTCGCGGTCCGTACCACGGCTGGTTACAGGTTCGCAAACGCGTTTCCCGATAATCTCACCCACGCTATCATCGGCACGCCAAGTACGTTAAACGCGCGATACTTTATTTCACCGATACACGACGTCGCGGCCGGCCCGTTTCTTTCTCTCGCCTCTCCTCTCCGTTCGCCACAATGCCGTTTTCAGTGGCAGGCCTCAATTTGCCGTAATTATTATGTTTATCTTCCTCATTCACTTAAGCCCGCGCACCGATCCGGGTCCTCCGTGTTCATTGTTTCGTGCGGCAGCACCGAAAGGCTAATATTATCAGGGACTCTCGTCTGCCGTCCCCTTTCGTATACGATTTACGACATAGACATCGATTATTTTTTCCGCTTGTTTGATAGAAACAAAATTCCTGATCGCTGACTATGACTATGATCGTGGGAAATTTATCGTTTACCATCTTATCAGAACAAGCTTTATATCTTAGATAGCGAAAGTATAAAGTAAAAAAGATATACTCGTCCGCATTTATTTAATGAAATCATTTTAAGCAATGCTGTACACGCGACAAATCGATGATTGAGACATTCGTGATTACCCCTGCAATAATAAGCGACAGAGAGATTGAAAATGGAATCTGTACGAGCGAAACGTTCGCGTACGTGCTAAATCCGCTATATTCGCGTTCACGTCATGTGCGTGGCCGCACAGCCACGCGCCAATCATTACATCCTGGAAAGGGTGGGTCTACCACCGATCAACCGCTATGTCAAATCCAATTTGCGTGATCCTTTCCCTCGGAAACGACACGAAATCCTCGTCACGCCCGGCAATTTGCGGCGCACGGCTCGGCGCGCCGACTGCACTTTCGACGAGCGTGAGAAGCGAGTGTCGGAATGTTGCACCTACGAAGAAAATAACACACTCTCATAGAGAGAGAGAAAGAGAGGGAGAGAGAGCGCTTCTCGATCACCGAGCTAGACGGGAAGCACGTTCGTTAAACCGTTTTCGTAAAATCCATCTCGGACGTTACAACTTTATACGCGAGATCTGGAATCTGAAAAGTATCTTTTCTCAGTCTATATATGTTGCGCGATCGTTTGACAGCACGTGCAACGTCCGGTTCCTTACGTGCGTCGCGTAGCCACGCGCTGATCATTACGCTCGCGAGAAGGCGGTAACTATGTATCCCAACCGATCCAGTTTGTCAAATGCAATTTGCGTGATATTTCTTCCCCGGCGCGGAAACACGGAATCACGAAACCAGCTGCCAACGGGTCCTCCGATCGTTTACGGTTTTTGTGCGGCCGCGTGTGCGATAATGAAAGCAACGATATCACGATACTGATTCTCTTCTTTAATAGATTCAAACAGAACCGCGAACGATGCATATACTTGGAAATAGCGCTCAAAGAGAAAAGATCTAGTCTCCCGCTAATGACATTTCTTAATTATACCTTCTTTGAAGGAGGTTTTGTCTATTGTATATATTGTCTCGTGCATCTCTCGAAGTCAGAAAAAGATAAAGACTTTTTCGTCCTACGTCGGGCTTCCCCGACTACCGCGATGTTGGCGCATCCTCCGGTGTCGAGAGTCCGCTCGGTCGAAGCGGAGTTAGCACGAACAGATTGTTTCTGCGGCCGAGAGAGCGAAGGCCTTTAGGAAAGTGTAAAGAGCGTCTAAAGCGGGAAAGAGAGAAGAGAGAGAACGAGAGAACGGACAAGAAAGAGAGAGAGAGGGAGTGACAAAGTAACTCCGTCGAGCCGGACGGGATGCGAGAGAAAGAGCGAGGATGGAGCGAGAGATGAACGTGGGGTGTAGGAAGCGGTTAGCGAATAGAGGAGACGGAGATGGAAGATGGCATGGAGGAGAGGAGGACGGTTCAAGAAGAAGAAGAAGAAGAAGAAGAAGAAGAAGAAGTTAAGACGGTCCAGCGCAGGCAGCATCACCACCGCAGCCGGAGGTGATGACCTGCTCAAGGCCACCCGCTCCCAACCTCTCGGACCGAAGAGGAGAACTACTCTTCTTATTTCTCGTTGCTCCCTTTTCTCTCTTTCGACTCCTTGTTGCAGCTCTGGAGCTCTCTTGCTCCTTCTTTCTTCTGCTTCTCTCCTTTCCTCTCCTTTCCTCTCAGTTTCCGTGCATTTGCCTTTCTTAGGCTCGCTGAACCTTGCACAGTCCTCTCTCTTTCTCTTTCGCTTTTTCTCTCTCTATTTTTTTCTTTTCCTTTTCTGTTTATCTCTGAATTTGTTAAAAAAATTCTTTAAAAAATTTGTTTAATAAATTATTTTAGAGAACGAGAGAACGGACAAGAAAGAGAGAGAGAGGGAGTGACAAAGTAACTCCGTCGAGCCGGACGGGATGCGAGAGAAAGAGCGAGGATGGAGCGAGAGATGAACGTGGGGTGTAGGAAGCGGTTAGCGAATAGAGGAGACGGAGATGGAAGATGGCATGGAGGAGAGGAGGACGGTTCAAGAAGAAGAAGAAGAAGAAGAAGAAGAAGAAGAAGTTAAGACGGTCCAGCGCAGGCAGCATCACCACCGCAGCCGGAGGTGATGACCTGCTCAAGGCCACCCGCTCCCAACCGCTCGGACCGAAGAGGAGAACTACTCTTCTTATTTCTCGTTGCTCCCTTTTCTCTCTTTCGACTCCTTGTTGCAGCTCTGGAGCTCTCTCGCTCCTTCTTTCTTCTGCTTCCCTCCTTTCCTCTCCTTTCCTCTCCTTTCCTCTCAGTTTCCGTGCATTTGCCTTTCTTAGGCTCGCTGAACCTTGCACAGTCCTCTCTCTTTCTCTTTCGCTTTTTCTCTCTCTATTTTTTTCTTTTCCTTTTCTGTTTATCTCTGAATTTGTTAAAAAAATTCTTTAAAAAATTTGTTTAATAAATTATTTTTTCCTTCATTTCTCTTCGATCAAAGTCTTTTTTCGCGACCGCGATCATCCGGATGTAAAGTGCGCACGCGAATTATACATCTCGAGTGATTCTACGACAAGATCAACAATTATAAGATTACTATCTGCGAAATTGAAAAAGTACCCCGTTTTTGGGGAATGAAAAACCTCGAAATCTCGGAAAAGGAATTTTGCGAGCGCATATGTATATCATACTTGAAAAAGATATTTTATAGTGACTTTGCGCGCGCGCTGCTCGATGGTGTATCTGACGTTTAATAAGCGCGGGTCAACTGGAGTCAACGGTGCAGCTGTGTCGACCGACGGCGAACTGTTACCTCGATTCATTATCAGTGGCCTCTTTGTGCACGTCTCTTGTTTCGTGGGACTCCCCCCTCACGCTGCCCGCTTAACTTTTCTCAATTGAAATGTCACCCGTAGTTCCTTGTCGACTATATAATCGCAAAAAACACGTTTATAAGCGTGTACAATCGCCTATCTAAATATAATATGTACGAATTATTGTACATTTTTTTTATCTCTTTCTTTCCTTTACTCATGTAAGGCGCAGGTTCTGATAAGTTATCGTCGCCATTTTAACACAGTGACAGACTGATTTCTCCCATAATCATAAACTTGGCCAAAGTAAAAAGACTTGCATATATATTCTCTTTCACGTACAATCACATGCTTAAAGATTGATATAGTGGACACCGTGTATAATAAATAAAAGCACATACATTTGTTATAGCGCGAGATGACGAAGCGGACCACGTGAGCGAGATTGCAGAGTACACGGAGGAGACCAGCAAGAAATCGAGCAAAAGTAAGGGAAA